TACACCTCATGCTTAGGCCCTGCTCCTGGACACATTAGCACGCATCATTTCAATCACTATATTTTTGAGAGATCCAGCTCCGCTGTTGAGCCTGGGGTCAATGCAGGAGTGCTGCAAATAAACAATATGATCATCAGGAGCGATTTCAGTGCCAGAGACTGCATGATTCAGCTGTATGCCAAAAGAAAGCAGAACTATCATGAAACAGAATAGACAATACTTATACTCTGGAACAGCTGCTGAATACAAAACCTCATATTATTTTTCATGCTCTTAGTAATCATGAGCATACAATAGATGCCACCAAAAGTGACAGCATAATCATTGCACTGCAAAGGTTACTTTACAACGGCAGTACCACACAGGTAGCAAAATGAGAGACAGGACAGTATATTTACTACAGGCAATCACACTGCTTTGTACAAGTCCCCTGGGATAGGTTTTTTTTTTTTTTTCTTTTTTCTTTTTTTTTGGCATCCAGTGTGCCTCTTCTCCATTCAGATCAGCCTGAAACAAGATTAACACACGTAACATTGAAAGGGATGGATGAAATAGTCTAGGTAAGAGGACACTGCTATGCAACTGCAAAGGAGGCTGCTCTGGTGACTCCTCCAACCCAAGCTGAAGCAGGAAATTAAAAAACATCCTCTCACTAAAAAGTGAGTAGCAATGAATATTTCATGATCCTAGACTTAAATGTAACATCCACTTTCAGTACAGAAGTATCTAGGGGTTGACTGACTGCATTGCACTACACATATTAATCTAAAGGGTAAACTTCCCAGAGCTCCTTTTCTTTGACACTTTGAATTAGGAGTAAAAGCTGGATGGATTTTGCAGATAATCCCCTTTGTCTGCCCTGACTAGGCAAAATATTGTAATGCCCCACGTTCCCAACATGTCCAACTTTCTTTTGGCAAAAGGCAGCCTGCAGCACCATATACATCTATTACTGTGGGATGGCCAGTCAAGAGTCCCACGCTGAAAATCTGTATACACATGAACTAAAATAAAGTAACATGATTCCTGCAAGAGTCTGTAACTGGATACTGTGTCCCATTTTTGCCTTTTCTCTAATGGAGAAAGCAAAAGGAAGGACCGGGGGTGCTAAAATCCAAAAACCAAGCTGGGGTTGAGGTTAATGAATCCAGATCTGGGAGCTCAATTAACAACTGCCACAGCCTTTTTGTCTGACCTTAGACAAGTCACATCATCATCCCATACCATCATGCAACATCAGTGAGATAACTTGCCTTCTCTCAACCTGGTCTCTTCTGATTGCAAACAGTTTGTGCCTTGTAACTTGTATGTCCTTGTGCAGGGCCAAGCTGGCCACGCTCCCGTCTCAGTTCAGGTAAACTTGGACTCATGAAACCTTCTGCTGTAATACATATAACTTATTTAACTCTATGAAGCTGCCTGCTGACTGACTTCAGACTAAACACAGCTAACCACCTCTCTCATATCTCAGTGCTGCTGTGGTGGGATTGAGTGTGTATCTCAACTTCTAGGGCTTATCCCAAGGATAGTGCCACGTCCTCGTCCTCAGTTTTTGAGGGAAACCCACCAAGTTTCACTAACTGATGTTCTGGCCCATAACGTTCATTTTGAGCCCCATTTCTAAATAGCGGGGAATGGAGGTCTGGAGCAATCAGACTTGATTTTCCTCTTGCCACGAGACAGAAAAAAATGAAGGCAGGGATAGTAGGGAGAGCAGGGTAAAGTATAAAACCCCTCCTGACTCACAACCCAAGTAGAGAGAGACAAAAAAACCCCACGCAACCATGCACAGAACTGCCTTTAAATGGAAAAGCAGAGTCCCAACTACTACTAGTTAGAGTAACATGCCCAACCAAACATGATGCCCTCCAGCTGGCACTACCCATGGGGCCCTTGCTGTATAAGACAATCTACTGGATAATTATTACAGGTTAAAAACAATGATATTTTCCTCTGGTGCAAAATTCCTGGATTCACTCTAACTGCAGCGAAGGCAAGGTTAATATTCCCGCATAAAATGCACTCGGCTATAAAACACAAGGCACTTATTTTGCACAACAACCTTTGAAGGGGCGAGTGCCATAATTGATTGGAGAGAATAAAGAGTAAACAGAAAAGGCGGTGAGAGAAGAGAGGTCATCCCCATGGAAACATGCCGGTCTTTAATACTGTGTGTAGAGCTGTTTGCAAGATCCCATGGCCTTTAATTAACTGAGGAGGCTGCAAGCAGAGCTGGTTGGACCGCTTGTAGCAAACAATTGATCTGATGAACTTCAGGTTTTATGCGTGTGTGGGCACAGAGTTGCCTGGCCAAACAGGACAGGCTTAGTATAAACTGGTCAATTATTGAGACTCCCATCTTCCTCCTCTATCGCTACGGCTAGGCCGATGCGCTCTAGACAGTGTTCTCACAAGCTGCAATGCAGCTTCCGGATGGCACAGCTCTCCTCTGCTCTTGTGACAGGCATTTCCCTTATGAGACCAACAGCAGCCCCTCTCTCTCAGTTGTGCATTTCTGACCGTCAGTGTAAAAGCAATGTCTTCCAAGGGCTGCATGTGCAGGACAGGTGGTAAAGCTAGTTAAGGCTAGCAAGGAAAAAGGACACCATTTGCCTTTGATTTGATGGATTGGCTGAGATTTATGAGCCAGCTGGAGCTGAGGCACACCCATAGCTGTGCAAAAGGAGATTTGTGTCACCTTTGCACACTTCTCAAACTTCTAAAGAGATCCTCCCTCCCAGCTCACTGTGTGTGGCATAAGTCAGGAAAGCCTGAAAGTTGGTTTTCCTTCCATGACAAAGGCCCAAGTATAAATAGTCAAGTACTGATGACATCTGGACACCCCATAGCCTGGACCACACCTTTTCTTTTGGCAATGGGAGCAGGGAGGGGGCAGTATAGAGGTCATTATCCCAAGCTGCCCTGTACAAAACAAAAATCATCTATGGACATTTGAAGACAGTTTTGCTTCAGTGGTGCAAAATAAAATTGCCCAAACTAGGAGAATCTGAACCGAAATCTTGCAGGCAAGATACTTGTTGAGGCCTTTACAGCTTTTAAAGCACTTTGGTCATATCCTAGTCCCAGTCATTTGGGTCTGTAGCCCTGCTGCATTTTAACAAACAAGTAGGAAAATGGAACTCTCTTCCCAACTTTCTTTTGCGTTGGTATAAAAACATATATGCTGCCCCTGCAGGTAAAACTCAAAACAATCATCCTTTGACATGGACTTGGGAACTGTCCAACCTTGACCTATGCAGCTAATTCGCCTTCTGTTAGACTAGAGACTTCTTTCTTCGTGCTACCTCAATGGTCACAAAAGTACCCCCATTATGAGTAAGAGCCCAAAAAGAAATAACTACCATCCCAACCTTTCACTGCTTCAGGTGGGATACCACAATGTCCTTGTTCTACCTGAGCCACAGACTTGTCACTGGGGTTGAAATGACATGTTCTCCCCTGGTCGCAAAGGCCTACTTCTCCTGCTGCCAAGGCCACAACCATTCTTTCACTAGCTGGTTGCAAGGGTCTCAGTATACTATCAAAATGGTTCCAGTATTGAACCACAGAACCCAGTCCTTGAGGACCAAAGGATGAAACATATACCTTGACTTTAGCAAGGCTTTGATACGTCTCCCACAACATTCTTGCAAACATGCTAAGGAAGTACAGGTTGGATAAATTGACTGCAAGGTGGATAGAAAACTGCCCGGATCATCAAGGCTTGAAGGGTAATAATCAGTGGAGCTGTATCCAGTTGGCACCCAGTATCAAATGGGTCAATCCTAGGGCTGATTTTATTCTATATCTTCATTAACGATCTGGAAGATGGGATGGAGTGCCCCCTCGTTAAGTTTGCATATGACACCAAGCTGGGGGATAAGCTTCAGGGTAGGGCTAGGATTCAGAGAAACCTCAAGAAATTGGAGGGTAGGACCAAAAGAAATCTCATAAAATTCAACAAGGACAAGTACAAAGTCCTATATTCAGGATGAAATAGTCCCATGTACTGCTACAGGCTGGGGGCTGACTGGCTAAGCAGCAGCTCTGCAGAAAAGGACCTGGGGGT